TATGTTAAAGGTTGGTTCAGTGCGTCTTGCACTTTTTAAAATCATAGATTTATTTAATATTTATAATAAAAGAAGATAACAATATATATATATATATATATATATATATATATATATATATTAAAACAAAATATTTTTATTGAAATGTAATCTTAGAATTAATACGCATGAGGCTCTCTTATTTTATTTATAACAATTAAAATATAATCCGAATGAATATAGAAGTATTCAAATTAGAAGATAGTTTTTCAGTTTCAAATAATTCAGCTAATTTAGTAAAATGAAATAAAATACAAATAAAATATTATATAACATCTATGTATATATAGTGCAACTATAACTAATTATTAGACATGAAAAATAAAAACTTATTCTGTAAAATATTTGTTTCAATTTTTAAAAAGCATATTTTAATAAGATAAAGTTACTATGATTTGCAAAAATGTAAATTTGGCTTTATGTTATTAGTCATAACATAAGTAATGATTATACACCAGTAATAAATGTTTTGCTTAAGTAAATGAATACATGACCTATTTTTTTCTATTGATAACAATATATTATCTTTTATATGAAGAAGTGATATTTTGATTTTTTTGTATGATTTATTACCCTTTTATTTAATTAATGAATAAATTTGTTGCTGAGAGATTTTGTGACTGGTGAATAATTCAGTTATATTTTCTTTTTGAAACACTTTAAAAGGGTGCAACACAAGGATTTCCCGAGAGGTCACCCTCCTAATACTATTTTTGCCCAAACTCGCTTAATTGCGGAGTTCTAATGGGATCCAGTACATTAGTGCTGGTATGATTGCATCCAATTCAGTTATAATTTATTTAGGAATATTCCTTTATTAAGTTAGTAGACAATATTAATTTAATTTATTATGCAGAAATAAATGAGTGGTATGTAATTGTAATTAAATTAAAAAGAGTATAATCCAAAAATTTTAAAATAAGATCCTTCTTTAATAATATAGACTAGGTGATTTTCCCGTGCTCATGCACGGGTATGAATATTCATAAAAGTAAAACTTATTAATAATTGATTGATGTTTAGTTTTAATTTTGAATCAATTTGTATGTATACTTTATATTAATAAATATTACATTATTCTAATTATACATATGACTTTGGATATATTATTGTCGGTTTAATTATTTTTTGGATCAATAGTCTGTTTATTTATCAATTTTGTATATTGGATAATATCTATTTTCACATTCAGCTATAATAGTTTTTATTCTATATATAATAAAATTTTGATTAATTTTCTTATTTTTATTTCGGTTGGTTATTGTCTTTAGATCTGTAAATATATTCATAGATATGTAAATATATTATAGTCAAATTATGTATATATTTATATATATTGTGCTTAAAATGAAATAAATAATAATCTGAAGTGTTTGATTCAAAATTACATAAATGAATATAATGATAATATTTTAAAATCTCATGCATATATGTAAATTCTAAAAATAATTAAATTGTAATTGGTTAATATTTTCTTTTCTTTTTAATATGCTTTGAGTCAACATCTAATTTATATGTATAAAATTAAATAGATTATTATTATAAAATTATAAGATGTTTAATTTTGGATATAAATTAGATCAGTCGAGTCATTCATTTTGTGAGTATATTGAGTTAAATATGTTTTTAAATTAAATTGAAGTATAATATATTTTTAGTTAAGTCAAATCAACTAAGTTTTATTTATCGCTTAAATATACATGTATTGTCATAATATTAATTTACTCTTTATTTTAGTTAAGTAAATCAAATTAGTTTTATTTATCTCTTAAATATACAAGTAATCATAATATTTATCAAATTATATCTTGATTTCTAAAAAATATTATAAAATAAAGTGTAACTAATAAATTTTTGGATTTTCATGAACATATATATTTTTATTATTTTTAAAATATATTTTATGTTATTTAAAAATATATATTAATGGGGGTATTACTATTTTGTGAACTTTCCTTTTTCTAATAAAGTCATATTATATACATATATTTTCGTTTTTAAATTTGTTTTAAAATTTTAGAAATATTTCCTTTTATTATATTTGTTATTTGGAAAAAGGTAAAAAAAACCTTAAAAGAATAATAATCTTAAAATCTAACAATTTATTAAGGGTATCTATGTAATCAACCACCGCGAAAGTTAACGTGAGCGCGACACGTAAGCATATTTTAATAAGATAAAGTTACTATGATTTTCAAAAATGTAAATTTGGCTTTATGTTATTAGTCATAACATAAGTAATGATTATACACCAGTAATAAATGTTTTGCTTAAGTAAACGAATACATGACCTATTTTTTTTTATTGATAACAATATATTATCTTTTATATGAAGAAGTGATATTTTGATTTTTTTTGTATGATTTATTACCCTTTTATTTAATTAATGAATAAATTTGTTGCTGAGAGATTTTGTGACAGGTGAATAATTCAGTTATATTTTCTTTTTGAAACACTTTAAAAGGGTGCAACACAAGGATTTCCCGAGAGGTCACCCTCCTAATACTACTTTTTCCCAAACTCGCTTAATTGCGGAGTTCTAATGGGATCCAGTACATTAGTGCTGGTATGATCGCATCCAATTCAGTTATAATTTATTTAGGAATATTCCTTTATTAAGTTAGTAGACAATATTAATTTAATTTATTATGCAGAAATAAATGAGTGGTATGTAACTGCAATTAAATTAAAATTTAAGAGTATAATCGAAAATTTTTAAAATAAGATCCTTCTTTAATAATGTATAGATATTCCATAATTAACATATTTGTTTTTTATTGACTCAACTTTACAATATACTTTGAAACTGGGCTTTTGATAAGGCAGAGGGATGATGCTCACTAAACGGCCCATGTTAGGTCCATAATCGCCTTAAAATTTAATTGTGAAGCGACGAAAGAATGATGAAGGAGTGCTTAGATGGATTATTTTCTTTGATCGTGATATGGCACCAAACATTGGTTAAGTCTTGGACAAGCCAACAAGAACTTTTTTTTGCGTTTTGTTCTTATATATCCCTCCTAACCACAACTACTGGTTTATTATTTTTTATGAATGATTAATCATCACGATTTTGTGAAGATATTTATAGAACAATATCGTTTGCAACTTAAAAGAATGAATATATAAGCTGGCTCGACCGCAAACAAAAATAGATTGGTTTCACTGAAAATTAAGTTACAGATTACAAACGCATTCAAAAGTTTGTATAGGCTACCAACTAATGTGGTCCAAACCGATCTTGGTATAATTATGAACATTATGCATGTACTAGACTAGACCTATAGTATACATCAATATAATAAATGTTCTTTGAAACGCAATATTATGAATTATATAAGTATCTTCTTCCCTTTATATATACTACTATTATATGAACTAAACTTAAGAAAATAAGATTTTGATGGATGGGGAGAGTCACATGGAGCAGCACATGGAAAGTGGCTTCGGAAAAGATACGAGAAGCGAGAGACACGTTACTCAGTTATTGTTGATCCCCAAAATGCTACGAAAAAACTATATACAAATGTTATTCCTTTTTCTACAATTCATATTATATATCGTAGGTATAAAAAGATATATTTATTCTTAGTTCTTCTAACGAGACATGCTTTACTTTTTCATCACTCCATTAACATCTAACCTAGCTGTCATGTTTAATTAATCGTTTTCTCTTGTCACTTCAGGTACTATTCAAGTTATACGGTCACTACTCTAGATAAACTAAGTAGAGCATAAAATAATGGTCACATAATATACCCATAAACCATGTGTACACTAATTAATCAAAAAATTTCTACTTCAGTTTGTAGTTCATGAACGTAGCTAGTAACGATACTATAATGTTTTTGGTTTTCAAGAAAACAACATTGTTTTAACAATGACTATACTATAATGTTTTTTTAAAAGATAAGCTACTAAGGAACTATACGAATTTAAGCAAAAAAATAACTACTAAGGAACTAACAAAACTGCATCAATTTGAAATGTAGCTTGCAATTCAAATCACTCGATTAAATTTGAAACGTTGGAAAGGGATGGTCACACAAGTTGACATATCGTCCTGTAAATGTCAAATCTTTTCTTTTAACGTTTTCTTTAACGTGAAATCTCCTTCTATTGTTCTTGCTCTTTAACTTTTGGGTCTGCTTATCTAATAACTTTGTCTAAGTGCGTCCAAATTAGCTGCCTGCTAGATTTAGATCGATATATAGTTTATTCATATCTGTATTTCTCTAGCAATCTTAATAAATATTGGCCTATAAAGAAAATATTAAGTGTTATGTTTACCAGATGGGAATTGATTCGCATTATTAGCAACACATGCACTTCGTAGGATCACTATCGTCGTGACTTTCTAATTTAAATAAATCTCCCCACATGTAATGTAACATGATGAGTATGGGATCCCATCTCCACATTACAAAACCCGAAATTTAAAATCACACATAATTACACATTTTCCTTATAAAGTCCAATTTTTAAGTAATTTTCCCAAATCACATCAAAAATTCGTTATTGCGTACATATCAAAAGACATGATAGATTTGATATATAGTGTTTAATGCATTAGTTGTGTTTCCCTCTTGTTACAACTTAAGTTTTCAAATTCAATACTAATCATTAATCCAACTTATGAAACAAAAAGCACCACTTTCCTTTTTATGTTCCATATTCAAATGAGTTGCTTATTTATATATTTTGAAATATTTATGTTTTTCGGTTCCACCGCCGACGGTGATATAACAAGAATTAATGATTCACATAACACAACTGAAAATCCAAAAGAGTCACGTTCCTGAAAATTTAAATTGATTAGATTTTTTATCAAAATTTTGATTAGATAAATTCATAGAAAAGCAGAAAATACTTATTAAACTAAATAAAAATACAAAAATACAAAATAACTACCCAATATAACGACCAACTTAATCACACCGTCCCGTCACACGCCATTAACAACAGAGCAGAGCAAAGTGACTTTCTCCTATTCTCTCTCTCTCAGTCTCAAACACATAGAAAATGGCTGAGCTTGAGAGTCCAGGAGTAATGCCAAAGCTAATAGCTTTCTTATCTTCATTGCTAGAACGAGTTGCCGAGTCGAACGATCTGACCCGGCGAGTCACGACTCAGTCACAGAGTGTTTCCGTGTTCCACGGACTGAGCCGGCCAACCATAACGATTCAGAGCTACCTCGAGAGGATTTTCAAATACGCGAATTGCAGTCCTTCTTGCTTCGTCGTGGCTTATGTCTATCTCGACCGTTTCACTCAGAGACAGCCTTCACTTCCGATCAACTCCTTTAACGTTCATCGTCTCCTCATTACTAGTGTCATGGTCTCCGCTAAATTCCTCGATGATCTGTAAGTTTCTCTGTTTATTTTATCGAAATTGAAACCTCTGAATCGAGGGTCGAGCTCAGAATTCACTATCAAAGCTTAAAATTTCAGTTAATGATCAGTCAATCCCCTGTTTCTTAAATACTCTGTTTCTAAAATGCTCTGTTTCTCTCTGTTTCTTCCTTTGAAACATAAAGATTCCATTTTTAAGTTGATAAGGTTAATAATTCACTAAACTGTAACGTTGGTACATAAAACAGATACTACAACAATGCGTATTACGCCAAAGTGGGAGGGATAAGCACGAAAGAGATGAATCTTCTGGAGCTTGATTTTTTATTCGGGTTAGGGTTTGATTTAAACGTGAAGCCAAACACATTCTACGCTTACTTCTCTTATCTTCAAAAGGAAATGACTCTTGTTCAACCTCTCTCTGTCCCACCAAGATCTGTCATTACCTTCAACGACGAAGAAGCTTCTCATCAGAAACAACAACAGCAACTCGCTGTTTAATTCACACAAGATTCCAAAAAAAAAAATAAATCAAAGTGTTTATTTTTTTGGTTCTCTTTTATTAATCAGTCTTGTCTTTGTTTTAATGAAATTTGTAGTTGTAGATCATGTAGAGATTAGTCGGCAGGGACTCTTATCTTTGGCTTAATCAATCTTGATTAAGAAATTTCAAAATCAAGACAGCAAGTTCTTGATCATTTCTCTCTCTCTCTCCCTTTATATTATATCATATATGTTTAGATGTGAACATATTTGATAGTTCATCTTTAGCTTGGTTAAAGGGTTTAAATGTCACTAGTCTAGTAACTCCAAAACTTAAATAACCAAAATATATTTTTCTTTGGTGTTGAACAACTAGAAGTGTTATGATTGTTTATGTTTTGTTTTACCCATGTTAGATCAGAAGCATGGGTTAATATTTCTAAAATAATAACTAGGAGGTACAATGATTGTGATTTGTGAATAAGATTTGTTGTTTCTTGTCTATAGAGGGAACAAAAGAACATGTGCAGAGCAGATACAGACTGTAATGATAAAGAAATCCACAGTCAATAGACAATCTGTAAGAGGCTAAGAGGCTAAGAGACTGTGACTTGTGAGAGCTAATAAAGATATTGTATACTGGCAAAAGAAACCACAAAAGGTTAAACGTTTTTGACTCTAGTCTCTTCTTATATACAACTCAAGAATACAAAACATACAAGAAAAGAAAAACAGAGAATGAAATTTGAGACTGATTTGTAGGAGGTGGGTGTTGTAGTAGTACTTCTGAGATATTCTTGTGTTTCTTGGCATGTTTACGGATAGGACTAGGGATTTAGGGTAATTTCCTGAAGAACAAGCTAATCTAAAATCAGCCTTTGCAAATCCATAGTTCAAGGCAAGAGCAGTCCATGAAACTTGTAGCTCAAGGTAGAAAGGGAGACCTTTTTGTGAGTAAGGAAAATAGTTCTATAGAAGTGGAAAACCTATCGAGATTGAGAAAAAGATGAAAATGTTTGGTTTAGGAAAATATATTTTAGCCTCCACTAATAAAATATTTATGTGAATATATATATACAACCAATTGGTAAACCACGTTAGATATTTGTGTAATATATTTTCGTATATTCATCTGATCATTTCGAGTCTATCTTAAGGCATCCATTATAACAATCATCATACATGAGTAACCTTGAAGTAAAACAAACACATGCAGCGGGGCAGCGGGACAAATCTGGACTAAAGTTCAGTATCTCCCGGTTATATAAAACATAAACACACTCACGAAACCAAATATGAGAAAGAAAAAAAAACACACAACAACAACAAAGAGATACATGGGATCAGCTAAGAAGAAGACTAATTACTCTTTGTATCTCGAATCCATTTGCACAAAGATTTGATGAAGAGAAAAAGCTCACGAAGAACCACAAGCAAAGACACAGCTAGAACCACCACACAAAACACATCCTCATTTGGTGCAATGTAGACGATAGCAATCAAATAAGTAGACAAAAGTGAGATAATACAAAGCCTCATCCAATTTCTCAGGGGGAAACCTTTAGTTAGCAGCGAGATCATTGCAACCGAAACTAAGAACCCTATCGCGTTGAAAGCAACGTAGAGAGTGAAGTGAACCGGTCTATCCGCCATGACTGCTTGCCCTGCATTGCTGCTCCTTCCAAAAATGTCTTCTAAAACTAGTCTTAGTGATGACTGTATTGTTGTGTTGTTCCGTGTACAACCATCACTCTTGAAAGTTCCTGGAGGCTGGAGGACTCCAGTGAATGTAAGTGTTGTTATGAGTGCTGAAAGAATCATTAGAGTTTCTCGTTGCTCGAGTGTGGAGTTAGTTATCTCGTCGTGTACATAACTCTTTATCATACGGAGAGGATTTCTAGTAGGCTGAGTTCCCTTATGGCGTTTGCGTTCCTCCCTTGCGTTCTCTGCTGAAGCTGTCTGAAAGATCTGAACAACCTTGTACATTTCGGAAACACTTCCTTCATCGGTTACAATAATCACGTCGAGAATGTCCTTTGGTGTTAACCACCTATTGTTTTGTTTATTTACATGTACAGATCCATGGGGTATTGCTTCATCACCAATCAACGTCTCCACAATCTGTAGATAACAAATATAATAAATAGAAATATGTAGCCATTAGTGGCGTTATACTTCCCATTAGGGGTTCTAAGAGAGGGTTCACACGTTTTTCGAGAGGAACAGTGATGAACCCGGCGCGCGTGGATTCGTCGTGGTGAATCCGGTTCGTCACGGATTCGCCACATGGCAGGCTGTGATTCGCCACAATTTTTTTTTTTTTTTTCGAAAAAGTAAAAAAAAAAAAAATTATTTTTTATTCCTATGAACCTCTCCCCATCAGGTTCACTGATGGGGATGCTCTGCATGTTCATGTCAAAGTTGGGTAGCTTAAGATATATTTCCTCTATATCAAATTAGAAGTTGTTTAAAGTTCTTAACATAGATTAAAAAAGTTAAATATTCAATTTTCTTCTTCTTTACTTATCAAAATTCAACGTATTTACTATTAAAAATAATAATCCGAAGCAGAAAAATAAAATTAATGTAAAAATTGCATTAAAATCATAAAATGACATTTTTTATCCAACAATGTTGTAAAAAAACAAAAAAAAACCAACAATGCCTCTTACTTTAAAGTTTAAGAGAGTGTACATATTTTCGCAAAAAAAAGATGTTTCAAACTAATACATTTTATATGTATTAGTATTAGCTAATAATGATAAATTATAAATTTCCAAATACTAACTATATTTATTGAAATTTTGTTAGTTTAAAATTATGAAAAATATAAGGAAATAAAATTATTTATTTATAAGTAAAATTTAATTTAAATATGTGTGAAAAATTGAAAACATAAATATTTTCAAACAGAAAATATTAAAGTGTCAGGTTTAAAACACTACTTGCCTGAAGCTGTTTCCCAAGGGTTGCAAGATGCAAGACTGAATTGCCTTCTCGATTTCCCATGTTAACGATCCACTCCGACATATTATGCTTCTTGATCTCTTCCAGCAACAACTTTGTAGCTTCCACTTGATTGTTATTTACAGCAACATGAAGAGGAGTCTCAAGAGAAGCAGTTACTTTCCGAAGAGATTCAGGGAATGAAGAAACCAGCAATTTTATGACCTCGACTCTTCCTCTTTGCACTGCGAGGTGAAGAGGAATCAAATCGTCTTTGTCCTTCAACAAGCAGATATCACATTTCCGACCAATGCTTAGGAGCGCTTTCACAACTTCTATGTTCCCTGAGGCTGAAGCTATATGAATAGGGCTAAACCCTTGCTGGTTTGGCTCCAGAGCTAACTCTTGCTTGTGGCGGAAGATTTCTTTTGTGAAGGCGGCTTGCCCGGAGAAGGCTAAGACATGAAGAGGATTATCTTGAGTAGGCAGAGAGAAGAAGCGCTCGAGAAGAAGAGGGTCTTCTTGAAGGAGCAACTTAGGTGTTGTTATGTCTCCTGTACGAGCTGCATCAGACAATCTCTAGTTGAATATCCAATCTCTAAAATTTAACTTATTCACTATCAAACAAGTACACACTGTATATAATACTTCCTACATTTTTTTATTTTGTCGTTTTAGCTTTATGTACATAGATTAAAAAAATAATTAATTTTACATGTTTTCAAAATAAAAATACATTTAGCTATACACCTAATCACATTTACCCGATTCATGCGGATGGACGAATCGATCGTTTGGTCGGTTCAGTTGTATTGCAGTTTGAAGAGAGGACTTCTCAATGGTTACTTGGTCTGTGGGGATGGTTGGTTGAATGACTAAGTGCCATGGGGAGATGTTTATGTAGGTACAAGGTTGCAGACCAAATAAAGGAACCGACCAGGCCGTGTACTAAGCCGTGTGTGATCACTGCAGGTCATGGATGGTCCGGTTTGTGGTTAATGTGTATTGCGGTTCTACTTTAGGTTGTACCAAGTTATGGCCATGTAATATACATGTTTTAAGATAGATGTTTAAGTGTTTAGACTTAGGAATGGAACCATGTCTTGCTAGATCAATTGTTCGGATATCGGTTTATGTCGTAATACTTGTTGATGTGTGGTTTCAGGAACTGAGGCTGATCATGATCAAGCAAAGGAGCCATGAAGACTTTATCAGTGAGAAGTTGTGTGGTGTTTGGGTGATAATATTAGAGATGAACTTATGATAGCTTATTATGCAATTCGATACTTTGTAAACGAATCACAATTCTTTTATTAATACAAAACGATTACCCTTTGTTTGTACTTGTTATTTGAATTGTTTATACACATGTATACAATAAAAATGACTAAGTAAAATATATAAGACTGAGAAATGAATCAAATACAATGTAATGGACTAAGTGTGAGACTGTGGGTCCAAAAAGGTCTTGAACCTCAGAAACAGTCTTAAAAGTGTCTTACGAAATTGAGTTGATAAGATGTAACCACTCTTTATTTGTATGTACGACTCTACACCAGAGATCGACCATCACTTCGTGTTTAAGGTCATAGAGATTTTCAATAAAAAGAAAGATGATCAGATTGAGATAGCAAATTAATTAAATTCTACAATGGCAATGTCTCAAAAAAACTCTCCAAATCAAGTTGCTCAGATACTTAAAGTGTAGATGATTACCATCTATGATGCACGGGGACGTGAGTTTGAGTGACGTTCCGGTATCGGAAACGTTTCTAAAACGGGAGCGGCATGGGGACGGTGCTGGGACGGCGTGGGGACGTAGGTGCAAGTTAGGGCTTAACCACATGAGCTTTTTAACATGTGCAGTCACTTTTTATTTCATCACTTTTGATTAAGAATATATATTGTTGAAATTGAAAGCATTAAATGATTCTCTACACCGAATATATTGCTGAAGGTAAGAATTCAGAAGTGAAACGATGATGATGACTTTAGATTCAATCCAAACTAAAAATTTATGTGTATATCTATCTTATTGTAGTCCATATATTTAATCCAAACTAAAAATTTATGTGTATATACACATATATATATATATTACTTTTATAAACGTTTCTATGTCGTACCCATATCTCTAGTTTTTTAGTTTTGTCGTTTCCCGTCCCCGCTCTCGTCCCTGTTTCTGGACCCGTATCCGTTCCGGTGCATCATAGATTACCATTAGGATTTTAAATGCTTAATCAGCTCACTTTGTCCAAGTTTCCAACAAATATTTCCAACTCCTTACTCTTTACATCTATCATTATATTGGAGGATGTCAGAATACTTTTTTCGATATCAAACAACTTATCCGTGTTTGACTTCTTCATCAGAAAGCACATACATCATCACCTTTCACTCTCAAGCTCCTCCTCCTAACCATCTCCAATCTCCCCGGCAAACTCACAATCTTCTTCCTCATCACATGATTGCACAAAAACAAACAAACAATCAAACATTCACATCGTCATCACATGGTTGAAAACAAGCAAACCAAGAAAACATGGACGTTAAAGATTTTGTTTTTTAAACATTTAAAAAAACTAGAGGGGAAAACTTTAGAGTAACAAAGTGATCTCAAGTGTAAATTCAAATGGAACATAACCTCTCTAACGATCAATCAAATGACATGATGCTAGTTTTAAATTGTTTCCACATTATGAATATACACAGAAGCTTCCTAATAAGTCCCAAAGTCCTAAGTAACTTGTCCTAAGTAACAAGTTACTGCATTTTTATCTTTCTATTTTGTTGTTGTTGGCTGTCCATATAAGCTAGACCACCAAGAGGAGCCGATTCTCCGAGGAACACCTTTGTCTGGTCGACTCTGATCTATATGAGAAAAGGTATAGTCTCTCATCCTTGCTTCCTTTGCTAGTGCGTCTGCTCGACCATTCCTACTCCAGGAAATATAAGACAGACTCACATCCTTGAAATACTCATGTAATCCCTGGAACATCTCGATCTCTGTTGAAAAAATCGGCCAATCTACCGGGTTTGTAGTCATGTCAACTAGGTCCAAGCAGTCTGTCTCAAACCGTTTCAAAGTTATCCTCATGTCTCTCATATATGAAGCTTCCCAAAGTAAACCTTCCATCTCAGCATGCAAAGCTGAGAAGCTCCTGCTGCACGCCCGTAATCCAAAATATTTAGAACCCATTTGGTCCTTAAGACTCCACCCTAAGCCACTGACACTACCATTATCGATCCATGACGCATCAATTTGGCAGGTAGGGATTCGAGGTATTCAAGGGAGCACTACCTCAACCTCTATAATAGGACGTTCATCATGATCCTCATTTGCTTCCTCCTTTGTGTTGGCCTTCCTCCAACATTCTGCCTCAAGAGACGTGTGTCGGAGAGTGTCAATCGAGGATACGAATTTCCCATTAAAGAGTTTGTCATTCCTTGCCTCCTAAATATACCAACAGATCCATGGAAAGGTATCGAATTGTGGTCTCAGTGGAGCCATCTTTTTCTCTCCTAAAACAGAAAGTTCATGTTTGGTATATAGATTTACTCGGGAAGTAACCTGGAAGGCGCATTTAGTCCGATAAAGCCCAAACCTGCAGGGCTGAGGGGAATTCAAAGAGAAGATGATAGATTGACTCCACTGGGCCAGTGTTGGGGTCAAAATCGGTTATGACGGAATCAATAACCAAAACTTCCCGCAAAAGTTAAAAATAAAGAATTAAACACGAAAAAGTGTCGAGAATAATTCTAAGGATCCTCCGAACAAAGCAACTCCTAAAAACTCGACAATCGTCATCTTGGAAATCGTCGGGAAATCGAATAAAACAGTCCGCGATTGTTTTATTGGCCAAGTTAACAAAAACGGCCGATACGCCCAAAATCCCTGAGATGTTAGAACCATTGTTAAAGATCAGAGTCAACGCCTACGGACACGTCTCTTTACATCCTCAAAGTTCTTGGCTCGAGAAAACAAGAAGAGACCAAAACCGAGCAACCGTCCAGGTCGTCAACGAGCAAGCTAAGACACACTTGTGACCAACTCGTCCATGTGTGAGCTGACCACACCTGTGACCAGCTCGCCCAGGGGCGAGCTGCACGCACTTGTTCAGTTGCCCATCGGCCTTACCGTTTGTGTTTCGTTTAACACACCGAACATTGCCAAACTATACGATTAACTCGAGATTTTTTAAGAAAAAATCGTAAAACACGCGTTTTTAGTAAAAACTCAGAGTAAACTTTATAAAATGGCAACAGTTAAACGAAACACCGAACATTGCCAAACTATACGATTAACTCGAGATGTTTACTCAAAAACGTCGTCGTATCAGGAAACGATCTTGTCAAAAGTCGTAAAATGGCTAAGTCGTAAAACGGCTTGAACGTTCCTAAAACGCGATAAAAGCCCACTTGCGACTTTAAACAGGATCTAGCCCAAAGATACAATGATGGTTTACCTATTATTCATAGGGAAAGATAAATGTCAAGATTGAAGATAAATAGAAGTTTTCCGCAGAAAAATAGAAAGATCGAGATAAATGGAAGATTTCTGATAAGCACGAATCAACGCGGAAAAGGAAAGATTAAACCGCCTAGAGAGGGAGTATATAAGTAGAAGATCGAGGACAGAAGCAGGGGAAGACGTTCAGAACTCTCTTCACACATGAAACTTAGGCAATTAGGCAATTTTCCGTTTTTGTTATCGAGCTGCGTCTCAACTAGGTTTTTAGTCTTATGTTCCTAGAACTAGAGAACTCGCCGTCAGCACATGTAGCCAAGTCTTTACCTCGTTGTCCCGCTCTTACGCAGATTCGGAATAAGAAACCTTTTGCCCTTTACTTCTTGATTTTTATTGTTCTTACTGTTATTCTCGTTTTCCGATTGCTTGGCATGTGGTTTAGCAGATATCCAGGACCTCTGGGAAAATAGGGTTTTTCCTAAGTTCCTTAATTAACGGAAATCGATGGTGTGAATTTCGGTTCCCACAGTTTGGCGCTAGAAGGAGGGTGGGTTACGGATCTATCTAACTCTCAGAACACTTGATATGTTGTGTTTTTGACATGATACACACATACTTTGCATATCATATTTATGCTTTCCTGGAGTGTTCTTAGTGTGTTTTGAGTTATTTCAGGTGTAGAACGAGTTGGAATGCACTAGAAGGAGCATATGGAAGAAAGAATGCAAAAACCAGAGTTTTCCATCGCAGAGCATCCAACGGAGCAACCCCCTGCTTGCTCCCTCTATCGCGGAGGAAACCCCCCTCCTTTTCTCCCGAAAATTATGGAAACTTCTAATTAATTTCGGGATTTGCCCTAATCTTTCTATTTTCTTCTCCCAACCGCCTGTGGCCTTCAGACACATTCTATTCTATTTTTTCTAGACAGAAAACGCTTCTTTGGAGAGAGGAGAAACCTTGGAATTTTTGGATATTGTGATTTTGATACTTGTAAAGGGAGAAGATCATCTCTCTTGTTCTAGAGAAGAATCCTCTGAACGCTATTTATATTTATCTGCAATAATATTCATGTCTTCTTCATCTCTTGACTTTGTGTTCTCTGTTGTTATGGCTGAGTAGTCGATTTGTTAACCTAGGATTCTAGGGTGTTGATCCATTGAACTAAACATAGATAAGCATCATTCTCGCCTTTGCTCTCCACTGTTCTTACTGCTGATACTGATTTGATCACTTAGTATTTGATTCAAAGTTTAATCTTTTATCATTAATCCTGAATTAGGTTGCTAGATCTGTTGAGAGCAAGCATCACATCCCTGGTCAGCGAAAGTAGATATCAGNTAAGCATCATTCTCGCCTTTGCTCTCCACTGTTCTTACTGCTGATACTGATTTGATCACTTAGTATTTGATTCAAAGTTTAATCTTTTATCATTAATCCTGAATTAGGTTGCTAGATCTGTTGAGAGCAAGCATCACATCCCTGGTCAGCGAAAGTAGATATCAGGGTGTG